AGCATTTTCCCTTAAAAGATAATGTCCCCAAGATTTGGGGATCCTGTTCGACACAAAGAAAGACTCTATGCGCCAATAGAAGAGAGAAGGAAGAGAATAGAGTTTAGGGTAAGTGAAGAGGAAACTAAATACATGAAATTATATCGAAAAGAAAGATTCACACAGACATAAATCTAACAACATATAATGAGTCAATGCCATTCAACTGAAGATGTACAATACAATAGTGATACCGCTGGTCCCGTATGGGTACGAGGCGTAGACCATGACTGAGAACAAGAAATGCCTAATTCGAGAATAAATTTCGAAGAAAAATATGTGGACGCGTACAAGATCCAATAACAACCCAGTGGAGGAGACACACATGTGGTGAAATAAGAGAAATGACTAAAGCATCATGGATCACTTGCACAATGAGATCCAGGGCAGGCCAAGCTGCGGAAAATAGAGATATTGAGACCATTCACAGAAGCAAACCAATCTCAAGAAAGGGAAATGTTATATAGAATAAGTTAGAATAAGCAGAAAGAGATAAAAGTAGATCCGTGGCGGTGGTGAAGAAGACTAAAACGGTTCGTGTTGTTCGGCCAAGTCAAGTAAGTAAATAGTGAAAATATCCTCTGGCGACCATTCTAGAAACTTAAAAACAATTTCAACCCTTTTCTCTTGACCACATCATTTATAAGTTTTTTTGTCCCAAGTCACTACGGCAATTACTTTTCAAAATGGGGCCGAGTGTCTTTTTTAATTGTCCACCCTGTACATAATGCCCAATTTTTATTCTCTTAAAATAAAATTCTTTCCTTTGTGTGAATATCCTACCTGACGTCGTCGACCCACCATATTCTGTGCTAGTGACTCAAATTGAGGTGGTACTATAATACGACCAAAAATATAGTACATTTATTGCGTTGAAGTAAACTCATTCCGACAGGTGTTTATTCTGTGTTAAGTAGGTCTCGCCTGAGATGGACCGTAACGAATATTTGTAGAAACTTTACATTTATATTTAAGACGTAAATGGACCGTTTTAAATTCGATTAAGCAATGATGCTGTTTTTAAGAGTTTAATCTAAATTGCATTATGTTCGTATACATTACGGAGGCATTTGACTATTATCCTTCCAGTAAGTACGTATTTATGTACCTGATTTTCGAGCATTCACCCTGCCAGGCGGTTTTCACTGAATAGTTCAAAGGGTAAGGTTAAGTGCCTGTACTCTATCTATCTTACAGGTGGGTTTGAAAATAACCATTTTTGTCTTGTGTGCCTGACGATTGACAACACTTTTCTTCTTGTATTTTTGTGTCTTCTACATAGGTCTTCGATTTGTAAACAACAACAAATTCCTTGGACGGTCCTGGAATGGTTACGGGTAAGGGTCTGCTCGGCAGGGTGTTCTATAAAGGGTGGCGGTTTTAGAGTGATAAACACTAGGCAAAGTTAATTATCGTAAAAGCACTATATTTCTGGTGGAAGTACACCTGCACTCCGTAAAACGCAATTTTGCAAATCAATACCAGACAATGTAAGTGACTTAGTTTAGTCACTGTAGTTCTTTCGCATACCTAGTGAAGTTATAATCCTTTCGAAAATAGGCATTAGGAATTACTGTATTCCAGTTTTAATTATTTATTGTGATATATTTTTAAAGGGTTCGGGCAATAACGATAAAAACAATCCATAAAATACTCATGGGATGATGGTAAGTAAAATTGTTTTAAATAATTACACTTATTTACAAACCGCTATGATCCTTATGTTGAGTTAAATAATTAAAATAACAGAAGAAATATTAGCATTTAGCATTGGGATATGCTTTATAATAAACCATGTCAAAATAGAATATTTTACATAATATACAATTTATTGATAGATGTATAAAGGTCACATGCTTGTCAGTGATTATAAATACCACAGAACGGTTTTCAAAAGTAAACCAATACTTTTTGTCTCGCATGAAACTTGGTCGAGTAGAATTCTCTGTGACAGGCAATTAAACGCGACGTTGCCGCAGTAACTATTTCGTTCGAAACGGTGCAGCTTGATAGAAAAAAGTTCGATATGAGCACTCGGCTACAAGGTAAACGCAAGTCAATATTCGCGAATCTCTCGCGATCCTTTTCCTTCCTGCCGCATAGGTAGAGCGAAGGTCAATATGGCATTGCCTATGCATCAGACAATGCGACTTCAACCACCCATGGTCAACCTACATAGTAAAGAAGAATACCGAGGCCCCGTCGTTTGTTTAAAAGTTTCGAAATTGAGGAAGGATGTTGCCTTAGAAACCGATGAATCACGGTTTGTAGGCAATCGCGATTCTCGCGTGTGTGTGTGTGTGTGTTAAGCTGGCCACCGTACGTGGCGGACCAGAAAAGTAAGTTTTCGGAATGGAGTGCATATTCATTGAAAAAAACAAACAAAATGATTTGTAATTTTCATTTGAAATTGCATAAGTTAAATTTACAAATATTTTCATGATAGAAGCTGTTTTTTTTGGTAATTTTTCAAAACTGTGATGATATGTTCCATGCTCGTTAACTGCGAGAACACATCAACGTAAATGTCAGTGGAGTCCCATAGGACATTTGTACCCCAATTGTAGAAGAAACAAAATTCTATGATTTTTTGAAAATTTTCTTTATGTATTAAGTACTATTATCAAGTTTCTCTGTACTGCTGCTTTGTACTCTTTGTGTTTCTGTTGATCTTCTTGAAAGTGAGCAACTAAATCCGCAGATTTCTTACTGACTACCCTAAAATCAATTAGAAGTGTCCTAGATAATTTAATTTCCAAAAGAAAGAAAAATCAATAGAATGCTTTAACATGATCTGTTTTTCAATTATCATAATAAAACTAACATTACTTTTCTTGAAAATTCAATTGTAAGCTCGGAATACAGCATAATCTGGTTTTAAGTGTTGTAAAAGCTTGAGCTTGGGGAAGAAGAAGAAGCTTCCGTTTGTGGAAGAAGCATTAGCAGCCCATGCAAAGCCTCTACTAGATGTTAATCACAAGGTACTTCTATTAGTTCCAACCTTAAATTTGGACATGCAATTGTACCCAAACAATCTTTACGTAAGAGAGGACATTTTAAACTAAACTTGTGAAATACTTGCTTACAAGCAAAAATTGACGACTCTATTAGCTCTACTAATTTGTCAATTTCCATAAAAGAGTCAACTGTCACTTCAACATCACCGCTGCAATATAAAAGGAATCTAATCTCTTTATGGTGTGGGTACACTGCAATTACAACGATTTTAGCTCTGAGTAATGAAACATAAAGACGCAGTTGCGACAGGATTCTGGCAGCAGGTTCGATATAACTGCAGTAATAATTCTCCATTCTTCTAAAATTACCACGACAGCAGAAAGTTTGACAGGAAAAAATATGAACGCCCACAATTATTGTCTAATTGTTTGCAAATTTACGTCTTATCGCAAATAACAACAATTCCAAATTTCAACAAAATCCACATCCAGAATATCACTTTTAAAAAAGGGAGATTTCTATGTCACACGGTAAAGTTATCATATATGTAGTAGAATTAGTGATTGGTGGTCATTTATATTTTCCACTCCCAGTTTTGATGGTAGATGGCACTGTAAAATTGTTTGTAGGGTTCGTCAGACCGATGCATACTTTTTCGGAACCATTTTCACGATCATGAACCACGATAAAATGAACTAACCAATAATTATTCAATAGTTTCACGCTTGCGTCGAAAATGCGAGGAGAAAAAGAAACAGTTTCCAAAAGCGGAAAACGCATAATTCACGTGAAGAAATCCCGTGTATATACGAGTGACGATATTTTAATAACAGTAATAACTATTTATTACTTCGTCCGTTTAAAAAATACGAGTCGTGTTTCCCTCGACATATAAACTCAACTAAAATACGTTTCACAATAACTAATAATATTATAAATTACACATTGTATAATAATACGTGGCGCACAAAGAATATTGTGCGCAGGATGATAACCGTGTCGCAAAAAAATGTATACATGCGTCCGCCATTTTTCGGTTGAAGTAATATTGATGAGGCGTGATACAAATACCGCCATTTGTGATTTTGAATGAATTACTAATTTTACATAATTTTCATTTATTAGTACGTCAACATGTCGTTGCTAAATTTGCACCATTTTTCCTTCTCGAAAATGTTGTTTGTCTTTACTAAATAGACAAAAAGGTGACAATTCGCTATGGCCTTTTAGCTAGCAACCTAAAAAAAGGTTAACCACAAATAAAAAATATAACTGAAGCCATTAACATGGTCGACGGGTATCAGTTCTGGCGTTTTTTGGGATATTGTTCACAAATTTGGATTAGAAATCCAAATTAAATACACTATTAATGAGCAATATCATAATCAAGTGGTTTAAGTTAAATTTTAACACTTTACGTCCATGATTTTACACCTGAAATATTTTCAAAAAGCACACAATTAATGTTCAAATACGAATTTGATTTTTTCTGCATAATTTCCATAATAACAGCAAGGGAATGGACTATTATAGGGTGCTTACAATATGTCTTTTCTCAGTTTGAAAGGTTCGTCATTTTTTGAAGACCTTGTATTATGGTTTAGATAAAAAGAGTAAATTAATCTCATTTTAATGGGTTTTAAAAATTGAAGAAATACAGAGAAATTTGAAAGAATTCCACAAGACTTTCATTTAATTGCAAACATTACGCTTTACGCCTCACCGTTAGGATGCAACTTTTCGCATGTCCCTCGTACCCTGAAATCGACTCCCGCCCATTAATCCACTTTTTATCGATACAATCGGGTCAAACGAATTTCCGCGAGGCACAAAATCGCTATTTTAATTCGATACCATTAAAATATTACCGCAGAATTATTGAACATAATACCGATCAATTACTGAATAATTCAAATCCACACGCGTGCGCCAAATTACACACTTGGCTCGAGAAAAAATCGATACGACCAGGTTTGCTGAAACGGCCAGTGCGCCAATGGGTTTCGCAATGTACAGGCCTAAGAAAGACCGCGCGTTTTATAACAGCCTTACCTTTATGACTTACCTTCATTATTGGCCGACCATCAAGGATCAACAGAATCTGTGCATTTACAAAACAGTTTCGGTTATTATAAGGGTGCTCACGTCGTTTATATTCGTAGCATGTGTATTGCACGGCTACATGTCCATCAAAAGTAAGTCGAGTAGAATATACACGGTGTTATCGAAGTGCTATTCACTGAATTCCAGGATCGATTGCGAAATGGGAAAGTAGCTCACTGTAATGCTAGTCCTTTTTTTCTATAAACAGTTTCTTAGTAGCAATTTGGAACAGCTGTGTGGAGTTAGGAGGTTCTACCCCATCCGGGTGCTTTCTTCCTGCAATTTTTCCCTGGAAAATACAGAGGAGTTACTCGTATCGTCTTTTGTTTCGATGATATTTCATCTTGAATATTCTTCTATAAAGCCATAGTTTTATCCACACTATACAGAACCGAGTACACTTAACCATGGATAAGTCTTTCCTTTATTTCTTTGAAATGAATACGTGGCTGATAGATAGGATACTACCTCTTGAGAATTGTACCACGATACATCTACTATATTTCTCATTGTGAGACTGTTTCAATTGTTATATATGCAGGCTTGCTCTACTGATAATTCCATTATTATTAATAATATTATTACATAATTAAAATAATATTTTTTACCAGCATTTATGTCAAGTTCATATTTATTTGCTTGTCTCTGTAACTTTATCTGTCATATTTGGCAGACCTCCAATTTTATCAACATCTACTGAAAGGATGCGGGCTGATTCTGATGAAGATTAGCTTGATTTTCAGACATTTCACGTCCATATCGGGTTTCTTCGAGAAGTGATATACGGAATCGGCAAATTATTGATTCGGGATCAAATTGAAATCCAGATTTACTCATTAAATTATATTGTATTATATCATATGCTGTGGTAACATCCGCTTCTTCTTGTTCTTCTTCTTCACCTTGCATCAAAATATTTCCGTACTGGTTCAACGAACTTTGATTATAGTATTGATTTATTTTATAAATATCACTTCGCATGATAAAAACCTAGAAAATATTTTCGCTGTTATCAGATGGTGTGAGCGTCGACATCAGCGAAGACTTCGTCGGAGTCACCGGCTTCGGGAACGCCATGTTCCTCTGCATTCTCTTCCAGATCAATGCAAAACGCTGGTCGCAACTGTTCAACGAAATCACGGACACTACCCAATTCGGTTACCCTGCTAGAATGCCACAAAGCGTGAAGAAAGCAAACTTTTGCGCGCTGCTCTACTACGTCTACTGCAACGTGGGTTGCTTGGTCTACGGCCTCGCCTCCATATTCGACACCAGCAGATGCGAGCGGCTCAACAAGGAAAAAGGAATACATGAAATATGCGGCACGGTGAGCCCGCTGTGGTGGCCCGGAGACGAGATAGACCCGATGACGAAACTGTTTTTCATCATTTGGCAAGCGTTTTCGGCATTTTACTACGTGCCCGGTGGCGGCATTTTGACGTTCCTGCCGTGGGAAGGATCGGAGATTATCCAAGCGAAAATCGATCATCTGAAAGAGTTGTTCAAGAATGTTTTCGATGGCGACAATCGGGACCAAATGGCGAAGAGGTTGAAGTTTTGTATCAGATATCATCATCACATTTTAAAGTTAAGTTTCGACGGCAACGTTTAGCCTCCCATAAATTATAAATTTTAGATTGTATACTCTGGAACTAGGTAATATTTTATAATTAACGATAATTGGTTGGTTGCAGGATCAGCGAGAATTTTAATTTCGCAGTGAAAAAATTAGTGGGTCAACTTTCGTTTATCGGAGCCATTATCCTGACTTGTATTGGAACTCAGATGCTAAAAGTAAACCTTTTCAATTTGGACCATAGCTGAACCTTAGTTGGGAACATTTTAGGAGTCTTCGATAGGCGCGACGTTACACTTCTTGGGCTACGTCGTATCAGTCACACTTATTTGCCTGGCAGGACAAAAGATGATGGACGCGGTGCTTCAATGTCGACCCAAAGATGCAGGCTGACTAATTATATATTTTCAGACGTACGGGATTCAAGACGCGGTATACGATTCCAAATGGCACGAAGCTGATCCGAAAGTTGCTATGGATCTCAAACTGATCCTGATGCGATGTCAGAAACCGGTTTACATGGACGCCGTACCATTTGGAGTCTTCAATTACAATCTGCTTATAATTGTAAGATAAAAGATAAATGCAAAACAGATATTCCTGACTGAGCCACTATTATAACTAACATAACTGTTATTTCAGATTTTTATATTTTATTACACCTGTACCTTCATCTAGAGTCAGTAGGGCAACAGATTATTTAACTTGCACTTTTGAAATGTCAGTTCTAAATCTTCAGTTTCTTCGAAAACTCCCACTTGACCCTGTTTGTTGCAGATTTTCAAGACAACGTACTCGTACCTGACGTTAATAAACAACACCACTTAAAAAAGTTGTGCATTGCATTTGTTCCAGTTAAATAGAAATTTAATTACCTAAAACTAAATTTTCTTTTATCATGTCAACTTTTTAGTAGCAGCAGTTTAAGTGAATTTGCACGCTTATGACGGTAATAATATAAATATGAAATATTTCATGCAAGATTCAGAAAAAATATAATTAACCTTTTTTTACAGTCGCTTTGGAAAGCTACTGTGAAAGGAAACTTCCTGATATCAAAATTCAACGAAATTGCGATTGAAATACAAAGAATTTAAACTCAGGCACATGCTCCACATTTTTACATCTTTGGAAACTGTTTACACAGAAATCTAAAATGTTGTTTAAGAGAAACACATGAACAAACTGTGAGAATGAAAACTAATATGCATTTGTAGATTGATGTTATTCATTTTCAACAGGATCTCCTTCAAAAGTCAGTCTCCGGCCCCCAAAATTAATCCCCAGGATTACACGCGCAAGTGTAGTCAGCTCCCAATATTGACAATTTAATTTTCAGAAGCGTATTAATGATTCAAAAGTACAATTCAGGTAGATTAATCGGGCGACTCTATTTAAGGTTACGTCAACAAAACATGGTTGCCATAAACAACAAATAATCAATAGAGGCTCCAAACACACCGAGAGGTATAATCAGTGGGTAATCATTGTCGCGCGATACAATTTAATAGTACCCGATCAAAGGTACCATTTAAATGCCTAATAAGAACATGGTACAAACTGAGGCAGTACGAGAACAATACCCCAATAACGAGTACCCATTAAAATCACCCACAATTATTATATTACGATATGATCACCATATCAAAACGGTACCATTATGGGCACCGAATGCCCGGTACCATAGGCATGGGTAATTGCGAGATTCGTAATGGTTATTGTGCGAGGTCAGGAGTCGTGCGAACTGTCCTCCGCGGTGATTTGTCGCAGTTGGTACCACTCGGATGGTACCAACATCGATGGTACCGAGATGTAGAAGTGTCCCGAGTCGCACCTACGTCGACGGCGATAAATAATAACGCAATTGCTAGTCTACGCGTTATGTGGTACCCGTTCGACAAATCTTTGGATTTGTTGCGGCTCGATTGTTGTGTCTTCGAAATTTATTTTCGTTTTAAGCACACACAGACATTCCCGAGCTTTTAACAAAGAGTTTTGAAAATTTACATTAGGTTAAACGAAAGAATGTTTCGCGGTTCAAATAAAATCCATAATAAAATATAAATAAAAATTATATTAAATGTATAGCAGAAGCAAAATGGTAGAACTTAAAATTTTTACCAAAAATTCCCATTTATTCCTTTCATTAAAACGAACTATTGAATGATAAATTCAGCCACGGGACCCTAGTCTGGGGGCAATTGTGTTTTTTGTGACAATTTAGACATACATGGGTCTCATGCTCGGAGATCGCTTCAAAGCAACCAAGATTTCCACGGTAAGCAAAGTCCAAATGCACTTAACACTTAGTTAGAAAATATAGTTGATATTAATCTATAGCCTTATAAATAAAGCTTGGGTAATAGTATATTATACAAACAGTGTGGAAAAATGCGCTTGAGTTGATTTAAGCATTGAACCGTTGGTGTACCAAAAAAATGCTTAGGTTAAATACGATTATGTACTAAAAGTATTAAATTAAATACAGAATAAAGAAAGGAAAAAATGTTTTTTTTATTCTTTTAGGATATGGAAAGACATTTTTTGTAATGTTCATATCCTATTCCAGACTTTTGAGAAACGGAAATCTCCACTATAAACACCTAGTGTATTATGTTATTAGTACTATCAATTCAGGTAGCCTCCGTGACCTTTGAAACATATCTTCTAATTTCGAGGCATTAAGTGTTTTTCACCAGATTATTGGATGATTGTCAAGACAAGGCCAGTATTAAACCATTGTTGTTTAAATATGAGTTCCATATGTCGCATGTGAAGTCGCCTTGACAAATGTTCGCATTATGTAAAATAACTGGGCTAGCGAATTTTAACAACATATTTTCTTGAGATACTAAACAATTTTTAATAGGATCTTCAAAGTATTATTATTCATGTCGGTTCGTATGCCCTATTTATTCTAATTAAAAGAATGGTGTTTTGCTGCTTTTATTTTATTTTGCAAACGATTGTGGAACAAAACCGCAATTAGTCCGGTTATTTGCTTAGAAAAATCCCCGGCATCTCCGGCGATAGACGAAAAAACGACCCGTCTCCCGCTAATAAGGAAACACTGCCGCTTTGTGTAAATACGAAAAAAAATCCCAACAAAGACTAAGTATCTTAAAGTTGCAAGTAACGCGGTTCGTGAAAAAGACATTTTTCCCGGCAATTTCTGATTAGATACATTAGAAACTCCAGGTCAAAAGTTAAGCCAGTCATCTTATAGAAATGCTCCGAGTAAAACGCGTGAGTCTTTACAGGGCGTCCGTGTACGGGTTCATCGAAATGCGGGCGGATTGAAATCGGTCAGCGGCGTAGCCAACTAAATAAAGTTGCTGACAAAAAATAGATCAAAATTAGTTTAAATAATAATTCTGGAATGACAAAACAGTTTTAATTAATAAATTTGAACTAACGAAACAAAACTAAAAACTAAATAAAGTTGTTGACAAAAAATAGATCAAAATTAGTTCAAATAATAATTCTGGAATGACAAAACAGTTTTAATTAATAAATTTGAACTAACGAAACAGAAAGAAATATGCTTATCTATTCAGCACTCGTCTCGAGAACTTTCCAACAGCCAGCGGCCGCACATTAAAACATTTATGTTAATGCGATGTGGGATAATAATAATAATAATAATAATAATAATAATAATAATAATAGACTTTAGACTTTAGACTTTATTGGCCATTAAATACATTACAAGAACAACAAATGGCAAGTCACAATATCAAACACATTCTAATAACATTCATAGAGAGCAACATAATTATCAGATAGACAAACACCAAACATTGAAACAAAAATTAGGTAAAAAAAAATAAGTAAATAAATAAATAAATAAATTCCCAGTTAGTATTATGGAGACACTCGTGACGCAACACGGATGTACTTATCTGCAGTATAGAATGCGTTCTCCAATAGAAATTGTTTTATTATATTACAAAATTTAGTGAATGGCAGATCCTTGACAACGGTTGGTAGAACATTGTAGTAATTAATGTACAATTTATTTAACTCGGATGGGCGCAGCCTAGAATGGCCCTGGACAATTAATTCAGATCCCCTGGTGTAGTGATTGTGGCGATCACAGTGCTTAGGCATATCGTTCTTTAGCTCATGTATGAGAGTGACTGTATAGTAAATAAATAGTGATCGTAAGGTCAAAATATTAAGCTTTCAGCGAGCAGGAGTTCAAGTTTTTCTACAAATATAGAAAAATTGCCTCTAGAGCCAGAGCGATAAACATTGATTAAAATAAGATTAAGCACTGGTATCTCCACACCACAAAACTCTGCGTGAAGATCCAGACAATATTTACTCAGATTAAGACTGCTACAGGCAATATTATTTTTAACATATATAGCAGTTCCTCCTCTGGAGGTACTGAGACGACAATAATATCCAACCAATTTATAATTGTGAACCTTAATAATATTAAGCAACTCCTCACCATTTACAAAATGTTCACAGAAACATACAATGTCAAAACCAATAGAATTTAGATATTCAGTAACCACATCGAGTTTACTTAGGAGACCCTGCACATTGTAGCTCAAGATATTAATGCTGTTCCTACCTCCATCGGTAGTCTTGGGTCGGGATTCTCCCTCACTAGACGTCTCTCTGTTGATACTGGAATTGGATCGGTTTTTCCTCTTGTCAGAGGCCTGGGGAAAAAAATGATTTATCAACACACCCGTGGGCCAGATGGAAGTATCCAGAATTTTTTGCGCTTCGTGATCCATGGCCGATACCCTAAATGAGGAGTAACTCTCAGGATACATTGATGGGACCTGGAACACTTCTACTCCACTAACTATCGGTGCTAGATATTGTCGGACCTCCTCAGCTTTGGAATTCGGATGCAGTTTAGTAATGTGAAAACTGATTTTACGTTCAGCAACTCGAAGTGCACATTTAGAGTTATCGCTAAGAGATCCTTTAAGCGGTTTGACCCTATCGTTTAGGACTCTGGAACTTTTGCGTTTGGACCCACCATCCAGTTCTATTATTTCAGAGCATATCTGACGTGACACAGCCTCACTCACTGCACTAGATAGTTCTTTATTTGTAATTTTATTCAGATTTTATTCAGTAATAATAATAATAATAATAATAAATAATGAAAATTAAAGGCAAACAAAAGACCTAATAAAAGGCAGACATCCAGCAAAGCCAGACACTGTTCAAGCCTCAAGTTGATGCAAACCAAATTACCGTAAGAACAAGAAAAAAAAGTATGAAATAAAAAAATTAAATATGTTACTCAGAATTTATAATGCATTAATCATTAAATATAATTTTCAATAAAGAGAGAAGTCGTAGGAGAAAAGATGGGGTAACGGGATACCACACAGTGCAATGCTGAAAATGATCATCTTGTTTTTGACATTATGTAGCTGAGAGTCATTTCTAAAAACACCGACGGCGTAGTTGGATTTGGCTGCAGTAGATGATCGGATTTAAGTTTATAAAATTTATTTAAATCAGTGTTAATTTTGGTATTAGACTGTGTAATTTCATGATCTTGAAAAGAAAAGTAAATTTGAGTGTCGTCAACATATAGGTGATAATTTCAATGTTTTAAGGCTTTTACAAAGTTAAATGTATAGATTGTATACAACAAGGGACCTAATAGGCTACCTTGTGGTACATCTATCCGAATACGCATTGTCGCAGAACACCTCTTAAACTCTATTGGATGAAAACGAATTTTAAAACAAGCGTGCACCTTCACTGAACCCAATATAGTGTAAAATTGAAATAAGCAATTTATGACTGATCATGTCAAAAGCCTTGCTAAAGTCTAACAAAATCAGTGTGCCAATTCTGCCTTCTTCCGGTGCCTCCGGTAAATCATTAGTAACATCGATCAAATCACTCTCAAAACTATAATCTTTTCTAAACCCAGATTGATTTGTAGGTGATAGACCAAAACGCTAAGAAGCTAAGCTAAGGATTTTCTTATTTGCCTATCAATTATTTTTTCTAAAATATTGAAAACAGTAGGAAGATTTCTTGGTAGTTTTGATTTTTCCTAGATATTAATTATTATTTTTCCATAAGTGAATCTTTACTGATGTTTTCCTTTTTCTTTTTTACTTTTTGATTTTGATTGAACTATTACCGGTCGAACGCTAATTATTTTTCGATTTTCTAAGATGTTTCCATGTTCTGCAAGGCTTGTGCGGGTTCAGAATTTCACAGTATTGCAGTGTTCTGTGGGAGTTTCTATGAAAAATTAATAGGTACCAATCTACTTAGCTGGGTTTCCAAAGTTTTTTAATGTAGAATTACATAGAGCCCTATTGGAGCTTACTTAACTCAGTTTTTGCTCGTAATCATCTTGCTGTAGCAGACGAATTGATTGATTAATTCGTTTATCTGTTCTAATAATAAACATCAGCGGCAAATATTGTAGTGTTAGGATAGAGTAATATACAGGACAATTTTTTGCCCAATACGTTATTTCAAAAAATATACAACATAAAACTAAAAGTGAAATACAAAGTGCGATAACTTCGATCACTGCCACAAATGGCAACATTGCTGCAATGCCGGAATAAGTAACAGATATTAAAAATTATAAGCAACATTTTAAAACTACAAGCTCCTTAAAGATCATGTTTAATGATAAATAATATAAAATTGATAAGTTAACATCTCATTATTATCTTTGGGCTTGTTGTCTGATTGCGTATCGATGTCTCCTACGTTAACCTATTTTTCGCTTTAGCAATACACATTCTCTGTCGCTTTGGGACCGAATATCATCCCAGTTTTTAATTTTTGTTTTCAAAGATAAGATTTAATTAAGTTTCTGGAAAGGGGGAGAGTTTTTAACTATAGCTTTTATGCGCTCCATTGGGGTTCGTCGCCTTCTCGCCTGTCCGCGTCTCCATCTATGGGGGGTTAGTTTAAAACTTTGGCACGTAGCGGTAAAATAAAAAGCAACGTGGACAGTTTTATGTGGAAATTAATAAATTTAAATTGAAAAAAAAAGAATAACAAATATTAAAGAAGTAATATATAGAGAAATGCTTTTGTACGTTTCTAAAGGCGTGTAAGACGTAGCACAAAGGACACCCTTTATAATCGGCATCCTATTCAGAATATTCGATGATACTCTGACACACTTTTCGCGATGAAACGCGTGCATCTTCATTTCTTCCGTCGGTCGTACAGCCGCTCGTAATCGGTCGGGAGTTTTTTTCTTCTCGAAATTAATAACATTTATCACGTTCTGTGTTCCGCCAATTTATACAAGCCGAAAAACCCGCTACCAAAAACGTCGAGCCTAAAAAGTCGCTCTAATTAAATAATTACGCGTTTCCGTCACAAAAACCGGCCATATTGAATCGATCGAAAGAAGCGCCCTGAAAAACCTCGTTTTTGCGGGTCAGCAATTACAAATTAAAATGGGCGGGTTGTTGTCCCTTGGGTCAGCGATATGCAGCGGCGTACGTCGATATCTGGCATTAATCC